AGGAGGAAAGCTGTCCCACAATCCGCTCACTCTTCCGATGTTCCTCCTTCATGGCCTCCTGCTGAGCCTCCCGAATCCGTTCCAACAGTGGAGTCACTACTGTCATCCGTACGCAGATATCTCAGATCGGCACTGCCTTACGGCTAAGTGCATCGGCCACCATATTGGCCTTCCCTGGGTGATAAAGGATCTCGCATTCGTAATCCTTTACCACGTCCAACCACTGACGCTGCTTCATGTTTAGATTCGGCTGATCCATGAGGTACCTCAAACTCTTATGGTCCGTGTAAATGGTACAACGAACCCCATAGAGGTAATGACGCAAAATCTTGAGGGCGAACACAACAGCCCCCAGCTCCAAGTCATGCGTCGGGTAATTCGCCTCGTGAGGCTTCAGCTGCCTCGATGTGTAGGCGATGACATGCCTTCTCTGCAACTATACTGTGCCCAAACCTGAGATGGACGCATCGCAGTACACAAAAAATCCTCTATGCCCTCTGACAGGGCTAAGATTGGCGCCTCGCACAATCTCTGTCTCAGAGTCTCGAACGCTGCCTGCTGCTTAGGCCCCAACGAAAGACCATGGCCTACCTTGTTAGCCTGGTCAATGGTACGATTATCTTGGAGAAATCTTGGATGAATCTCCGATAATAGCCCGCTAAACCCAGTAAACTCCGAATCTCAGATGTAGACATTGGAACCTCCCATCTCATCACGACCTCTACCTTGGCCGGGTCTACTGAAATCCCGTCCTGGTTGACAATGTGCCCAAGAAACTGCACCTCGCGCAACCAGAACTTACACTTGGAGAACTTAGCATATAAGCTCTCTCTCTCTCTCTCTCTCTCTCTCTCTCTCTCTTCAGGGTCTCCAACACCTCTCGGAGATTCCCCTCGTGCTCCTCCTGCGTCTTGGAATAAACCAAGATGTCATCAATGAAAACTATCACAGACCGATCCAGCATCGGTCTGCACACGCGGTTTATGAGGTCCATGAACGTGGCAGGAACGTTGGTGACCCCAAACGACATCACCACAAACTCATAATGGGCATAGCGTCCGAAATGCGGTCTTCTGCACATCCCCCTATCTGACCGTCATTTGATGATAACCTGAATGCAAATCGATCTTGGAGAACCAAGATGCTCCCTGCAACTGGTCAAAGAGATCATCAATCCTCAGGAGTGGGTAATGGTTCTTCACTATTACCTTGTTCAACTCTCGATAGTCTATACACATCCGATGCGACTCGTCTTTTTTCTTCATAAACAAAATCGGGGCTCCCCAGGGTGAACTGCTCGGCCTGATGAATCCCTTGTCTAGCAGCTCCTGCAGCTGCGTAGCCAACTCCTGCATCTCGGGAGGAGCCAACCGATAGGGTGCCTTGGCTATGGGAGCCGCACCAGGGACTAGGTCGATCCTGAACTCCACCTGATGCTCCGGAGGTATCCCAGGCAGCTCCTCGGGAAATACATCTGCGAACTCTCGTACTACGGACACCTCGTCCACCGTTGCTCTACCCGTCTCCCGGGCATCCGTAACATACGCGACATAACCTGCGCAACCTTGCTGGAGGTAGCGCCTTGCCCTCGCCGTCGAATATAAGGTTGGCCCTCGCTGTGGTCTCTCGCCCTGAATCACCAACTCTCCCCCACTTGGGGCCCTAACTCGCACTAGCTGCTGCGCGTAGTCTATCACTGCCCCATTGGGGCTTAACCAATCCATACCGATAATAACCCCGTTCCCCCGCAAAGGTATGGGAACCAGATCCACCAGATAACGCTACTCAAACAATCTCAATACACAATCCCGGAAAACCTCTGATGCTCGCACCGATCGATCGTCTGAAATCTCCACCTCTAAAGGGCAATCCAACCTGCCCGAAGACTCAGGAAACTTCTTGCTAAGCGCAAGAGAAACAAATGATCGGGTAGCCCCCGAATCGAACAACACCTACTGTGTGTGTAAGTATATATATATATATATATATATATATATATATATATATATATATAACTTAAAAATTACATAAGTACATAAAAAATATAAAAATATGTAAAAGTATTTAATATATATATATATATATATATATATACAAACACGTAAAAAATACAAATAAATAAAACACATAAATACATAAAAATTATAACAAAATACATAAAAGTACGTAAAATACTTAAAAGTTCATATAAATGCATAAAAAAATTATACATTTAAAATACATAAAAAACGAAAAAAACCTATATAAAACAACTTAAAAAAGCCTAGAAAAATACATAAATGCATGTGTATATATATATATATATATATATATATAAAGAGAGAGAGAGAGAGAGAGAGAGAGAGAGAGAGAGAGAGAGAGAGAGAGTATTCTAACTATTTATTGTATGAATGTATGCACAAATCAGATTTTAGATAAATTAAATAATTTAATAGATAATAGAAGGGTATTATAGTAATCTTATTATTAGTTAATTATGGTATTATATATATATATATATATATATATATATATATATATATATATATATATATATATATATATTGTAACGCCCGTAGATCCGGGTTAGTCAATTAGAGACATTAAGCATCAAAAATGACCTTTTGATGGAAGACTATTTTGAAGGAATAATTTTAATTAAGTTATAGTATATGTTACAGGGTTTCCGTGCATATAAAGAACGCCGAAATCCAAGTTATAATGATGAAGTTATGACCTGTCGAAGTTTCGCGATAGAACCGGCACGACACAGCGCGACATAAAAAGTGAATTTACGTTAGAGCGATATTTAGCCTTAGCAATCTAAATGAAAGTCGTAGAATACATTAAACCATGAGGGTGCATAAAAAGAACGCCCAAATCTGACTTCGTATGAGGAAGTTATGATTTTTCAAAGTTTCGACTTAGCGGTATGCAACCCGAATGCTTGATTTGAGACCGAGCGGTTTTTAGCTGAAACAATCTAAATGAGAATAGAAGGTCTCGTTAATAGGAGTAAAACGATAAAAAGATAGGCGAAAACGGACGTTGGATAAAGAAGTTATCATTTTATAACGGAGTCTTCCTGTCCCGACCTACTAAAAATAAATAATAAAAATAAAATCAAAATTAGCTGACGGAGTCTAAACAAAAGTTGTAGATCGTAGTCTCACCTACGTGGGGATATAAAGAACGTTGAAAACGAAGTTCGTATGAGGAAGATATGAATTTTTGAAATTTATTAAATATTTTCGATATTTTATTTATATATAAATTCCAATATTATCCGAAGGGGGGGGGGGGGTAGTCAGCGATCTTATCGCCATTACGCCAAGCGTAATTTAGAATTACGCCCAGCATAATTCGTGTTCCAGCCCCCTATAAAAGGGTGTCGAGGGCAACCGACTTCTTTGCTCATTTCTTCCCGTTTTCTCGCGTTTTTGCATCGTTTTTCGTGCAAGAATTATCCCGAAGCCCCGATATCATTCCCGAGCCCCGAAGTAAGTCTCGAGGCCCCGAAGATCCCGAGAAGTGCGATTCCCGAGCCGAAGCTCTGCCCGCGAGGTGCCCGGTTTTTGTGAAGATCTTCCAGATCTACCGAAGAATACTACTTCTACAAGTCGTAGTGCTGTCCGATCATCTTCTGATCAAGTGAGTGTGTAGTTACTTTCTTCTAACACATAAATATTAAGTATTTGCTATAAAATACGTGCTATGTGTATAATATAAAGTTGTTTATATGTGTGGGTGTATAGTCCCTTTCATAAACACGAGTATAATACAAGTATTGTTTGACTGTATTAAGTATATGTTTGGGTGAGTGTGTAGTTACTTTCTTTTAACACATAAATATGAAGTATTTGTTATAAAATACGTGCTATGTGTTTATATATTGTTGTTTATTTGAGATGAGTGCGGGATGGATGTTTTATATAGTTTTTAAATGAGTTAAACTGTATATGTATTTTATATCTACAAATATGTTGGGTAGAACATGGGTTGATGAGATAGTTGGTATGTGATAAAACGATGAGGTATGAAAGATGATTAAGAATGGTATTGGCAGATGCACCAATTAGAGAATATCATAATACTAGCAGATACGTTTAAGAATAATATCGTTAGATGCACCAAGTAGTGAATGCCGTAATCCTGGCAGATGCGCTTATAGGATAATCCTGACAGATGCGCTTATAGGATAATGTCGGCAGATGCGCCTAAAAGAGAATGTCATAAACCTGGCAGTTGTGCCTCATAGTGTATGACGTAATCCTGGCAGAGGCGCTTAAAGGATAATGTTGGCAGATGCGCCTTATGTAGCTATGGAAGTTTGTGCTAATTCCTTAGGTCAATCCTTAGGAATGAATGAATGACGGGTAGTTGAATTCCTAGGGTAAAATCCTAAGAAATATAATAGGGATGGGTAATTGAGTTGATTGTTTGATGGTTGAATATAATAATTATATTATTGTGGGTTGAAAACCCTATATGCTCACCAGGATCCCAAGCTTGACCCACTCAGTTTTCTCTGTATCACAGGTATCGATACGAAGATATATTTCACGGAGAGATTAAAGGAGATGTAAAATCTTTAGTGTAAATAATGTAAGTTCTGTTTATGCTAATGTATCTGTATCGGAACATGACATCCCGAGATTTTGTTATATAATGAAAATACATTTATTTAAAGAAATGCTTTGATAATTTTTATCATATTTTGTTTTGGGAACAAATTCCGCAACCGTTTTCTTTAAAAGATTACTCTGATTTTATAAAACAAAGCATAAAGAAATCGGTTTTTTCTGGCCGTGAAAATGGGGATGTCACATATATATATATATATATATATATATATATATATATATATATATATATATATATATATATATATATATATATATATATATATATATATATATATAATTGGATATTAGTTGTACTCCTGATAAGTCGCAAAGATTCAAAAACCTATATCTTTATAAGTTCGAGCATGACTTGTAGAATAATAAATCCTCCCTAACCCTAGCTCCAAAACAGATAAAATATACGACTTCAATCCTCCCTCGGCCACCACCCCTAACAACAATCATACACCAACGTCAACAGAGACAACGAAGGATACGAAGAAGAAGAAGATGAACAAGTAATCGAAGGTTGCTTGGTTTTTGAATGAGGCGTATTCGAAGACCTTTTCATTCAAAACGAAATTCAGCTTGAAGCCCCCAAACCCTCCAAAAGGGTTAATAAAATTGTGGTTCGACCGGAGGATTTTGGTTCCAGCGAAATGGAAAGACGTTAAACAGAGATTAATACCACGCAGAAAGAGAGGAGAAAGATGGCCCAGGAATTGGAATTTGGGAGCAGATTACAGAAGAGAAAAGATGGCTTTAAACCTATATTGATGGCGTATGAGAGTAGGAAAGAGTACAAAGCTGCAAAACTTAGGGAATTGAAACCAGTTGTGCTGAATAATCCTCAAATTTTGGTGGACAAGAACGAAGGTGATGATACCGAAGATGAAATTGACGAGGGCAAAGGTAGCAGGGGCATTAAAGTGGCCCCTAAGAACCCTAAAATGGTTGTATATGATCATGTAGCTGCAAAAGATCCAGAAGGTAATTTTATAACATTCCCACTAAAACTGGCTCAAAGAGTACTCATTTCACTTCTATAAACTGAATTCTTACATATAATTCCATGAGTTGAAGACGAATTTGTGTTGCTATAATCCTTTTTTGGTTTGTTTTGCTAATTGCTTCACATGCATACTTAGTTGATCCATTCCTTTTATATTAGGGTATAACACCCAATAGCAGGCAAGCTTTATAGCATGTTACTGCTAAAGCTTAGCTTTTTTTCATTCTACTGATGTTGATGGTATTCGTCTTTGAATATTATGGTAGACGAAACAACTACTGTAAACGACATATATATTGAATATTTATTTCTTTTTACTCAAATATACCAAGAGATTATGATTTTTTTTGTAAATAATGTATATAACAGGTAGAAAGATGGGAAAACCAATATTTTGCTTCTACTGGTTGGTTGCATGAGAATATTCCTTTGAAGATTCTTCTGGAAGCACGATAGGTTTTGTCTATGGTGATTTACGGATTGATAATCTTGTTTTCCATCCTGTTGATAATCTTGTTTTCCATCCTGTTGAGGCGTGTTTTCCATTCTGTAAGAACATTATTAAAAAAGCTCACTTTTGTAGGTCAAGTTATATATAATCTTTCCCAAATTATTAAGTTATAATTTAATACTAGGGAAAACCATGGCCTCTTGTTGGACGGAAGTTTTATATTGCATTTTCATTTTTCCGTGGTGCATCAATCTTGGCATGTGCCCACAACAGCGAAGGTAGTTTGTCACTATTTTCATATCAAATTTACTTCTTATATGATAAAAATCAACTTGTTTATGTAGATGATTCAATGGATGATATTGATGAGATTCAAATTCTATTGGAATGGAATCACGAATTCCAATTATGTTGGAATGGAATCACAAATTCCAATTCTATTGAAATCACATAAGTTGGTGCTTGAAAAACGGACTACAAAAATTGAAAATGATTCTAAGCAACATTAGTCTTTTAGAATGTATTAGTGTTGTTGTTAGATTTTAATGTTTTCTTTCCCGTTTTAAAAGTTTTTTTTAGTTTTATTCGTTAACAATAAATATAATTCTTAACAATTGTTACCTATATTCTATAAGAAATAATGTATTTTTTGTTTTTATTCTTCAATTGATTGTTCAAAAATTTGTTATTCTACAATAAGTTTTTAAAGTCATGATCAAGAAATAGGTTCAAGAATATTTTTATTATTTATGGTTTAAAAATATTTTTATTTTTGAATATACTCATAAAGATATTCTATCAGAATGTCTAAATTAAAAGAATTATAATTCGTAAAATCGGATTTTTAAAATTAAATTGTATTAAGGGTAAATTACATGAATGATCCCTATGGTTTAGGGTAACTTGCGCGTTTGGTCCCTAACTTATTTTTCTAACTCGGAAGGTCCCTACTGTTTGTTTTTGTTACACGCTTGGTCCTTGTCTTACATAAAAAGTATATTTTTCCCTTGATTTTTTAATTTATTTAAATAAACACACCCTCAATCTCATCCTCTCTCCTTATCTTACCTACTCTATCATTTTTCTCTATTTAAATAATTGTCTTTTTACGTAAGATAGGGACCAAACGCGTAACAAAAACAAACAATAGGGACCAAATGTGTAGCAATAACAAACAGTAGGGACCTTCCGAGTTAAAAAAATAAGTTAGGGACCAAACATGTAAATTACCCCAAACCATAGGGACCATTCGCGTAATTTACTCTAGAATTTATGATCCCTTAAAAAATGCAATTTTCCTTTATTAAATCTATATTAATTGACTAAATTACCATTGTAATTAATTAAGATGATATTTTTCAATTATATTTAATTCAACTAATATATATTAATCAATTTCTTAAAATAAGTAAATTTGATTGGCCCAAATTTATGTATACAATAACACAATAATTACTTTTAATAAAACAACCTAAGTGTATATATATATATATATATATATATATATATATATATATATATATATATATATATATATATATCCGGTAAGAAATTTTTTTTTGTAGGAACGTAAGAAATTTTTTTTCGACTTATTTTTTTCGCGAAAAAAACAAATGAATCAATAATAACATGATTCACCAAAAAAATTCCGAAAAAACACTTCGATGATTCATTTTTATGATGATTTTGTTGATATTCACCAAAATTGTTATAAAAGTGAATTTTTTCTTGATTTACTTAAAAATGAATCATGAAGGTGTTTTTTTCTGAATTTTTTTCTTGTGAATCATCTTATTTTTGAATCATCTAATGATTCATTTCATTTTTTGCTAAGAAAATATGCATATAAAAAAATTTCTTACCTTCCTACCAAAAATTTCCTTCTTATTTGATCTTGATTCTATATATATATATATATATATATATATATATATATATATATATATATATATATATATATATATATATATATATATATGGTTAGGTTCATGTGAGACGACCTAATTTTGTGAGACCGTGAGACATATTTTTTTTTTTTAAATTTTTTTTAGTTAATTCAAGTTCCGAAAATAATATTTTAAAAAAGAATTTTTGGATTTTTCCATTTATTTTGCATTTTAAAATTATTTTTTAGAATATGTACGGTGTAATATTCTATTAGAATATTTAATGTATTTTAAAAAAAATGGAATTATTTTTTATTTTTTATTTATTTTTTTTATTTTTTTAGTTAATTCAAGGTCCGAAAATAGTATTTAAAAAAGAATTTTAGATTTTTCCATTTATTTTGCATTTTAAAATTATTTTTTAGAATATGTTAGTGTAATATTCTATTAGAATATTTCACGTATTTTAAAAAAAACGGGATTTTTTTTATTTTTTTTAATTTTTATTTATTTCTTTTAGTTAATTCAAGTTCCGAAAATAATATTTAATTTTTTTTTGGATTTTTTCATTTATTTTGCATTTTAAAATTATTTTAGATTTGGTTTCACGGTCTTACAAAATTAGAATAGTCTCAAATGAACCTGAACACACACACACACATATATATATATATATATATATATATATATATATATATGTATAATACATAAAAATACATTTATACATTATATACAAATTTTATGAAAAACTATATAAAAAAAGTTCTATTATTTCAGAAAAATGAAAATTTAATTCCATGACCCTCTAAGTTAAAAAGAAATAAAATAAAGAACATTACCGATTTCTTGGGTTTCTGTATTTTTAGAAAACAAAATCATTCAATTTTTTCCTTTTTTTTTTTTTTTTTTTGATATTTTCTCTTACAACTGCTCATAACCGCCTCTTTCAAATTCACGCCTTTTTTGTTTGTTTGTTTTTCTTTTTCTCTCTGAAAAATGGGGTTCAGTAAGAAGAATAGGGTTTAGTAGGAAGAAGCTTGACCGATTAACACACAGTTGGCAGTCGTTTCTCTACTCTCGTCGCCGGTGAACAGGTATCGACGAAGCTTGATACACACTTCGCATCTTTGTTTTCTTGTTATTTTCCAGAAAATGCTTCGATTAGGAGCACGATGTCTAACATAATTCTGTCTCTTGATGCCTCTTCTTTCATCTAAATCGATACTCGTCCGATTTGTTGTTGAATTGTAGCAGTGTTTAAAGGTTTGTAGACACCGTATCTGTTGAAATCGATCTCCAGCAGAAATCCTCACTTTCTAGATACCACCAGCTTACCAGGTATCATTATTAACATCACATCATTCCTTGTTTCAATCTGATTTTCTCACCTCTCGCGAATAACTACGTACAGTATCTATCTATGCTTTCTTTGTTCAAAGTTCGATCGATTATGCCATTTGTGTTGTTCGATGCGTAACATGCATTCTATATTTTACGATCATAATTGTGTGTGCGATTGAAACAGGTGAAACCAACTTATGTGTGATTCTCTTGAAATCGAAACCCTAGGTCCCTGAATTACTGTATTTGTATGTAGCCATAACAGGAGATGCTACTCGATGCTTATATCTATATCTTTGGGCAAGGATTTCTTTACGTATCGTGAATTTTGAAACTGATTATGGTTGATATTCTGAATTGGAGCTTATTTGCAATGTGAATCAGTTACTTGTGATTACATCGTTTTGTTTGGTGTACAATATGTGTCGATGTGCACTCAGTAACATAATTTTTGCTCATTATTACTAGATAAAAGTTTTAATCCTGCATTTCTTTTCAAATCATGCAGATTCGACTCTCACTGGAGTATCACATTGGATTGCAACAAAGTTTTTCATCATCCAAAATCAAACTCAGGTACAATTTCATCCTCCCAATTCCATATTCTTAGCTTGACTTTGATTGATCTTATAAGAATTGTGAGTTTGTTTGAAATTTTGAATTCATCTACACTTACAACATTAATTACAACCTTATTCATACAACTTTTACAGAATCTTTGATTCATGAATTAACTCACAAATAACAGTTCAGAACAAGATTTAGACACTTTTAGATGATGTATATATAATGGATTATATATAAAGTAGGATGGAAAAGACTCTATTGCCCACTGCATCGATTCGTGTAATGAGTGTGGTCTTTCTGCTAAGATCCCAAGGAGGAGTTGCTAACTTTGGAATGAGTAATGAGTTTCAGTTGTTCATCACATCTGTTGTAATTGCCCAATGTATTTCCCAAACTGTTAAGTTTGTTGGAATGAGTAGGGAAGATGAAAAGAAGGCTTTTTTAGTAGCATATTGTTTTGAAGTGATTGGTATTCATAGCATGTGTCTTATGTGGATCGTTGACCACAATATCCTCATGGTACTCATCATGAACTTTTTGCTGAGGTTTATTCTTCACTGTTGGGACATTTGGATGCTGGGTTACTTAGGTTATCAAATAGATGTTGCTGTGGTAAGGGAGAAGAGGTTTTGGGTGAGGTTTCTTCTTATCTGTTGTAGCATTCTCATCATGGCTTTCATATATGCATCAGTCTTCATTATGGTGTCTGGCTATATGAGAGGTTGAGATGAGTCGAGTACATGGGTTATTTTCAGTAAACAATGAAATGTGATGGTGATTGATGATTTTGATGTCAATTGTTCTTGTTGTTCTATTACACTGTGTTGAATATTGTTAGTTTGGATATATGTGAGTATATGAGTAGACCAAATTATGTAAGCAACAACCAGCTTTCTTATAGCTGCATATTAAACTTTACATTTACAATGTATGAAATATCATTTATTAGATGGTTTTTTCTAGGCTCAAAAAGTTACTTCACACAGGATCATCATATGTTTCTTTTCTCGTGTTTCTAATGTCCTTTGGTTTGTTTGAATCAGTGTTGTGTAAAAATCGGGCAAAACACTAGAATATGACCTTTTTTATAATAGCTCAAAATCGTGCAAATAAGTAGGTTACTTATTTGATTGGGATATTGGTAAATGATATAAGTAGATGTAAATTTCACAGCGACTAATTAAATGCTAAGTGATTTGTACAAGTTGATAAAACTTGAAAATATGCATTTGACAAAATAGGCTTAAGGTTTCTCCTAAGGAAATAAGGTTTATCCTAAGGCAATACTATAAGGAGTATTCACAATAAACATCATTTTCAATGGTTAGTGAGTTGGTTTCTATCTTTCTCTCTCTTCCTCACTACTTATCTACTAATAAACACTATTTTCAATGGTCAGTGAGTTGATATTGCGGGTAATATGGAATGATATTTTTGCGACGTGACGTGTAGATCATTCCATGTAGCCTAAGCTTTATAATAAATATTCGTAAATTTTTGTATAAAATAATTTCAAAATGATATCAAAATTTCTGGTTTTCGTTGCGTTTAGCTTTTACAATGGGTATCCGTTTATATTTTATAATATAAACTATAAAAGATTTCACAAACCATAAATGTCGATGAACACCACAAAAATGTGTAAAGACTCACCCTTGTTGTCCAATACGGTGTACTCTTTGGAGTCAAGGCATACATCATTTTACCACTATGAAAAATATATCTTTCATATCATACATTGCTTTAAACATAAAAAATTATATTTTAAAGAAGGAGATGGAAATAATTAAGTAACTATGTTCAAATCGGATAAAACCAAGAATCTGTTGGATTAGTGTCTAAGTCCATAACTATTTTGGTATGTACTTGACCAGATGGTGCATCGTTCTTTTGGGTTGCCTTCACCAAAGCAACATGATTGGAGAAATAAATAAAAAGAGAGAGGTTATTATGATTTGTTAATATGTTATAAGAATAATATATTAAAGGAGAAATCATATTTGCTTAATTAATATTGGTCAATAATTAATTAGGAATTAATTTTGTGATAAAGTGTAATTAATTAAACTAGAGGGGCTGAATTGTAATTATGTGATAGTTACAAAATATGATAATGGTTATCCTAAATATGGGTTGAACGAATTCAAGGAGATAAGGATCCTTGAAATCGTCCAAAGGATAAAGGATAAGGGTTTTCAAGGCTTATCTTATGGTTGCTTTGTGGATAAGCAACTAGATAAGGATAATGACTGAAACCCTATCTCTACACCTATATAAAGACCCTAAGGCCTTAGAATTCGTGTACTTGTTCCCAAGAAGTCCTAAGGACGAATTCTAACCTCTCTCCTCTCTCTTTATACCTTCTCCATTTGCTCTTGGTGTTTGTAAGCCATTAGAGGAGTGACACTTGTGACTCTAAGCATTCCAAAGTCAATTCAAGGAGGAATTGGGATTGTTATTGCTATATAACAATCAAGGTATGTTCTTAAACCCATTCATATGTTAATATCGATTTCATATACTAGAATTAGGGTTTATAGTCTTGGATAACTTGCATGTACAATAGAGAAACCTAGATCCATGTTTTAGGGTTTGTATGAGCACATAGGATGTCTTATGACTAAAACCCATCAGTGGTATCAGAGCCTAGGATGGTTTCAATTGTATTGATGCATTGTATATCTAAAAAATTCGATTTTTTGGTGTTGTAGAGGCTGGACTCGCCGAGTCCATAGCTGAACTCGCCGAGTCCAGGGTGACTCGACGAGTCCAGGCTTGACTCGATGAGTCAACTCGTCAGATAATGCTTATCTCGGGATTTCTTGCTGTTTTTGCATATGGATAGTTACCTTATCATGTTAGATCAATATTAATCCGATTATATGATATATTTGACAATATTTTTGATCTAAATGAAGATATTTATCAATTAATAAGATAATTGTTTCCTTATAAGATAATTGATTAAATTGATAAATTGTTTTGCAAGAAATCATTAAATAAATCAAATATGGATAATTATGTGATTAAATGTTAATTTAAAATTATTTGTTATTTGATCCTTGTTGTTATGAAAAGTTTCATATTTTCCCCTTTAGGTTTTATAGTTTAAATTTGAACCCAAAAGTTTTGTTGTTTTGAAATTTAAATAGTTGAAACCCTAATGTTTTGAAAAAGGTTTCAAAACTTGCCCTCAAGTTTTGGAATTTAAAAGTTGATTAAAAGGTTTAATTAGGAATGTTAAATTCTAAAACCCTAGTTTTGAAAAGTTCAAATACACCCTTACGATTTTATTAATTAATTGAGGTGTATAGTTAAAAGAGATTTAATAAATCCATAAAAGTTTAGGTTAACCAATTAATTGAATTAAAAGTGTAATTGTTAAAGTTAACCACATAGTATTTTTAAAAGTTATAAAATACACCCTATACTATATATATAACATTAAAAGTCTAACATTATATATGTACGAGTAAAAGTCAGTCTTACCGTTAGTAGGCCTCATTCACGAAGCTGGTCTATAAGGGGTGTTTAAGGAAATTGCCTATAAAATGGCGATTGAATGGGTATCCAATATTACCCACCGCACTCTTGACTAGTGGAGGGTCGTTAGCCGAACGGGTAGGATAGGACAAAATCTTCCATTATAAGTATAATGAAATACAAAGTAACTAAATGTTTTTCAAATTCCCAATCTTAGTTACTTAGGAAAAAGTGAATTGATGCAATTCCATGAAATTACACTTTGTACCCTTGCGAAGACGTTAGTGGAGCGTGTGTGGTTTACCGGCACACTAAATGGTTTTATGCAAAGGTAGCAAAGGGTGACTCAATGTTTGTCATAGTTCGGTGGAGCGTGTGTGGTTTACCGGCACATCGAATAGGTGACTATAACATGTGAGGGAACCATGTAAGTTTGCATGGTTATTCACACCCGCTTTGTGATCCTCGGCATCCCAGTCACAAACAAGAGGGGCATATCGAGATTTAAACATGCCATTGAAAGTTCAATGAATCTCAAAGGATCTAGGAGTTTTCATAGATTTAAAACTTAAATTTATTTTTCGTTTTTCGTGGTGGAAATTAGTGAGTCGTCATTCACTTACCTTCAAATATTCTGCAATTAGGGTTACGGCATCCCTCTCCCGAGTTGTAGAATATTGTGTTGGGTCCTAGCCTTAGTATTTCATTTGGGTGATTTACTAAGGACTCAATCTATCAACTAACTTGAATTCGTTTTTTTCTCCCGTTTTGTAGATGTCAAAGTTCGACAACTATGGTCTTCCCAAATCCCGTGGAACAAGCATTCCACATGAAGATGATATTCCAAGATTCGATCGAGGAACAAGAGATCATGCTTCACTTCCTCCTCCTCCTCCAATTATTCTCCCTAACCCACAAGTTCAAAGGCTTGAAAAGTTCAAGATCACTCAAGCCATTTTGGCAAGTGAACATAAAGAAGGAAAGTCGGTGTGTGCACACGTCCTAGGGATGAAGTCACACATTGATAGGTTAAGAATGTTGGGATCCGTTGTCTGTGAGGAAATGGCTGTTGATTGGGTTCTTCAGTCACTTCCTAACTCATATAGTGAGTTTGTAAGAGAGTACTATATGATGAACCGCGACGTGAACCTTATAGATCTCACCTATATGCTTATTGCTGCTGAATCAGCAATGGTTTGGCGCAATAGAAAAGCAAAGTTGATTGGTGAATCTGCCTTTGAGACCTCTATGGATATAGACAATGGCAACGAAATACATGTTATGATTGAAAAGATTGATCATAAGAGAAAGGCAATGTCTAAAGTAGTTCCATGTCCTGTTCCAAAAAGAGTCAATTTGCTTTTATTGCCAAGAGAAGGGGCATTGGAGACGAAGCTGCCCTATTTACCTAAGAGATCTAAGAGATGGGAGAGTCGAAACGTATGGCTCTAATATAGGTAAAATCCATTAACTAACTCTTTTAAGCTTCTATTCTAGATTCTTAATACATAATGTGATAAGATTACAATTGATGTCTTGTAAGATCGAAGAAAAGAAAGGAAGCTTAAGGGAAGAAGTGAGCAGAATCTAACCGTGAAGGAATGGATTTCGATCACGAAGATTAGATTCTTGAGCTACTACTTGGAGTTAGAATTAGATTGCTAAGAAAGATGTATTAACATAAGTTTTTCTATGAGTTGCATTGTGAAGGACAAATTTTTCCGCAATAAAATAAATTTTGATTTTAAATTTTATTTATTTATCCTTACAATGGCGTGTATGAAAAATTGATGTTAAAATAATTAGCAATAATGGATTTGTTTCTTATTATGCTATGGAAAGTCAAGAATTTACCAAATAGGGAGAGTTTCTCATCGTCCAAGTTTCAATTGGACAGAAACTTGGAATCATGCAATTTGGTTGCACGATGAATGAGAAATTTCATATTTTGGAAATTAGACTAATTCATTGACAAAGTGTCAAGTGAAGGACTAGGAGATCAAGTACACAAAGTTGCGTGTTGATCAAAGTCCACCATAAGAGTAACAAAGACATTCGTCATGATTTACTAAAGGTTTAGTAAATATGATTAAGTGTAATTCTGAATTGATTGAAAATGTTTAAATCAATAGCAGAACGAATAAGAAGAGTCAAGTAGGCAGAAAGATAAAAGTTTCTCCATTCTAAGAAGAAGGGAGAGTACCTTTTATGCTTTATGATAGGTATTAATGATTAAGAACCATATCTCAATTGATCCTCTAAGTAAGTCTTAGTACAATTGTATGTTTGAGAAGAGGAATCAAGAATTGAAGAAATGGAGAAATCAAGAAGTCTATCATACTTCGTTCCAATAACAAGTCTTAAAGTTAAGATTGTGGCAATGAGTGAAAAGTATTAAAGGTTTATAACATTCATAAAATGTGGAAAGTTGTGATGTCTTGAATAAGACAAAGACCAACTTGGACCAATTTATGAAGTGT